GGCATGCAGGAGGCAGCCAATCAATGATTCTCTCTCATCATTGATGTTTCTATCTCTCTCTCCCTCTCCCTTCCTCTCTGAAATCAATACAAATATTAAAAAAAAAAAGAAAGAAAACTCACAGAGGCCATGTTGTCGCCAATAGGCAGGGGGCTTTTGTGTGTAAGGTGACAGCCGCCTGCCTATTCTCCAGGATGTAGCTTTCAATTCAGGTTTTGTGATCGGAAGAGAATTTCTGTACAGACTGTATACAATCCACTCTCAAGGGGCGCTTCTCCACCTTTCACCCGGGTCGGGGAGCCAGCCCAGCCCTGTCCTGCCACACTGCCGGGTCCTGCTCTCTCGGCCCCCGCGGAGCAGAAGTGTTCACATTGGATGGCGATAAATAAGCAAGAAAACACAGGGAAACGTTACCTGCCCAGCCAGCATTTCATATAACAGGACGCCATAGGCCCACCAGTCCACGGACTTCCCGTACGGCTGATAAGCGATTATCTGTGGGAAAACAAACACATCAATTACATTCAGTGGCAAATCAAAAAGCCTGCGTTCCGACAGGTAAGTCAGGCATGTTGGCATTCACATGGTTTGCAAATGAGGGGGTGATGCTTTGTCTTTGATTTCTATACCAAGGGAAGAACTCCCCTCAAATTGGGCATGCCAAGAACTGTCACCCCACGATTCACCGTCTCAAACCTATTTGGAACTCGTCTTCTGAATCCACCCCCCCAAGACGCCACAGTGCTGTCTGAGGTCGATTTAATTATCCTCATTGGAGGAAAATATCTGGGCACTGAGGTGGATTTAATTTTTGGAAAAAGCAGAGGTCATTCAAAGCTTGAGTCTCATAAATAAGATAACCAAATGAAGTAACAGAATTTCATTAAAATAAAGATGATGATGATCATCATCATAAAAAAGAAAAAGAGGAGGAGGAATGACTAAAGTAAAATTTCTAGTTTTCCTGTGTTGCTCACAGAGGTACCATGATATCTGCTGAATGACTGACGTTTCAAAATGGGTTAAAAGAGACATAAAATGTAATATTCGGACCTTGTCCGATCTTGGTTCTAACCAACCAACTGTAAAAAAGAAAGTGGGAACATTTAAATGTGGTCTTGATATCAGGTGATCTTAAGGGGTTACTGTTGATATTGTTAGGCAGGATGAATGGTATGGTGCTTAGAGTGTCCTTTTCGGTTAGCCGGCTTGTTAAAACACTGGCTTTACTGCCTCGCAGGCAGGCTGCGCACCTAACACACAATCCCCAGGCCCAGGATCACGCCCCAGGATTCCAGGTGAAGACATACCAACAGGTACTCGGCAGGACCGTCCTGCCACTTTGCATACGAATTTGACTTAGAAATGTTCCAGGGCATTTTTAAACATATTTTTATAGATTTCAGAGAGGAAGGGAGAGGGAGAGAGATAGAAACATCGAAGATGAGAGAGAATCATTGATTGGCTGCCCCCTGCACACCCCCTACTAGGGATCAAGTATGCAACCCGGGCACGTGCCCTTGACCAGAATTGAACCTGGATCCTCCAGTTCGCAGGCCAACACTCTATCCACTGAACCAAACCAGCTAGGGCTCAAGGTATTTTTTAAAAATATATTTTTATTGATTTCAGAGAGGAATGGAGAGGAAGAGAGAGACAGAAACAGGGGCTCGGGCGGCAGACTTCCTGCAGCACGTGGGAGGCTGAACGTCAGCTGCCAGCACAGACCCAGCAGGGCCGCGGGCCTTCAGTGCACTGCTCTCTGTCATCATGATCATTATGGTTATACTAACATGAGCCCACGGCTTGGGGGTGTGTCGGATGTTATAAATGGCTGCCTGTCTTATAAAACTGATGAGAGGAATCATTGATTGGCTGCCTCCTGCACGCCCCCTACTGGGGATCGAGCCCAAAACGCTGGCATGTGCCCTGACCAGGAATTGAACCGTGACCTCCTGGTTCACAGGTTGATGCTCAACCACTGAGTCACGCCTACTGGGCCCACGTATTTTTTTATTGGCCCACACTCCCTGCCTGTCTGCCCATCCCTGTTGCTTTAAGGCAGCGCTGCCATTTCCCCCGGTGGGATGCGAGGCACAGCCTGTGGCTCACTTCAGTGCAGGCGACGACAAGAGGGTCGGGTTTGGACTGGGTGTCTCTGTGGCTCATTCCTCGACAAGAAAACGACACACAAAGGGGCCCACAAGGAGGCCGTCACTGCTTTTTAAAACGGCATTTGTTCTTTTCTGAAAACTTGGAAAACACACACACGAAGCACTAGAAAACCCGGCCAAAATGAGTCTCTAGTCATTACCTAGTGACCCGAAATGATGTCCCTCCAGGGCCCTGACAGGAAACCCCTGGACCACCGCCCGTCCTGGCCAAGTAGAAGCACAGAAACTGCCTTTGGGAGAATGAAAGTGCGCCCGCCGAGCACTTACCACCCGCCCGATGCTCTCCACGCGTTTTGTATAACCCGATGAGACAGCAATGACCGTTGTTTCCATTTTACAGGTGAGAAAACCGAGGGGTAAGCGTTTGGGAGACTTGCCTGAAGCCCATCAGTTAAGAGGTGGTGCTCAGAATAGCGACAAATTTGTCTTAAAAATACGATTTGTGCCTTTCAAAGATATGTAGTCACTCCTACTGGGATTAACAAAATATTCATCAAAGGGCTTTGAGGATTAAAGAGATTTGAAATCATTATTTCACTTTAGTATCTATATTTGAAAAGTACATGAGTGAAATCTGTTCTTATAACTATATTAAAAGCAGTCCCTGTGATCTATTTTTAACAATCGGTGTTTTACTAGTAGTGTTTTTTTTTTTCACCTTCACCTGAGGATATGTTTATTGGTTTTAGAGAAAAGAGAAGGAGGGAAGAAGGGAAGTAGAGAGGGAGGGAGAGAGGGAGAGAGAGAGAAATATTGATGTGTGAGAGAAATATCAATTGGTTGCCTCCCACAACCTCGGTATGTGCCCTGACTGGGAATTGAACCGAAATATTTTGGTGTACAGGATGACACTCTAACCAGCGACTGTGGGAGGAGCCGGCCTCGGGCTCATCTGCCCCCATTGGGGCAGGTGTCTCTGGCACTTGTGGGCCAATGGAGGTTTCCAGCCAAGCCCGGCGTGGGGGTGGGGAGCTGCCTGACGTCCTGAAACCCCAGGCAAGGGGCTGCCATGGCAATTTGGCTTCTCACAGCAGAGGACCTCACGGGAGGAGAGGCTGGCTTGGCGAGGGGCTCGGGCGGCAGACTTCCTGCAGCCCGTGGGAGGCTGAACGTCAGCTGCCAGCACAGACCCAGCAGGGCCGCGGGCCTTCAGTGCACTGCTCTCTGTCATCATGATCATTATGGTTATACTAACATGAGCCCACGGCTTGGGGGTGTGTCGGATGTTATAAATGGCTGCCTGTCTTATAAAACTGAGCTATGCAGGAGCTTTCTCCCTGCCTGGGCGCAGGACCAGGAATGCAAGGGGCCGGGGGCAGCCTCAAGTCTCTTGCCCGGCCCAAGGCCCACAGCGGCAGGAAGACGGCGCTCTAAGGCCGTCCACCCTTCCCCCCTCGGCCGGGCTACACACTGGAAGGCCTCCCAGCCAGGATGGGGCTGTGAAAGCTTTCTGTTTTTTTAAAATATATTTTTATTAATTTCAGAGAGGAAGGGAGAGGGAGAGAGAGATAGAAACATCAATGATGAGAGAGAATCATTGATTGGTTGCCTCCTGCACGCCCCACACTGGGGATTGAGCCCCAAACCTGGGCATATGTCCTGACTAGGAATCCAACCATGATGTCCTGGTTCATAGGTTGATGCTCAACCACTGAGCCACACCGGTTCGACTGCAGAAGCTTTTTTTTTTCTTCTTCTTTTTTAAAATTAAATCTTTATTGTTCAGATTATTACAGTTGTTCCTCTTTTTTCCCCCCATAGCTCCCCTCCACCCGGTTCTC